CAGCTGCAACTTTTGGCATCTGACAGGGTTGTACAGCTCTCCTCTTTCAGTGCTGAAATGGACTTGCTTGTTTGAGCTCCTGCATGGGCTTCAAGGTGCAGATTTCCTGAGTGAAAGCCACCATATTGCACGTAGTCCATTCACTGAAGTGCTTTCCACTCATTCTCTATGCTCTTGGTTTACCTTTTTGTCTGTAGAAAGCTTGCAGTAGAGGCAAAGATCTGATTAGATTTCTGAAATCAGTATGGTGTGATCTGTGAATTTGTGTTCTGTATGTACTGCTTAGGAAATTGTGGCAGTCATTATGAGAAGGTATCTCCTGAGTTGGGAAACGAATAATTTTTACTGTAGCCTTTAGTTCTAAATGTCTATTTAATGTATAAATACAGTGTGTATCCATTTATTTACTTAACCTAACATCCAGAAAGAGTAGCTTTGGAATTTCAGGAGGAAGTATGCATATAATTCTTAATTAGTTCAATTCACTGTGTAAAGTTGTTGTCAAGTGAAAATATTTTTCAGATGCCCTTTAGAAAGGTGAAATGGCACACACCATAATAAAATTCTTCCTGTGACACTTCTATATGTAGCACTTCTTTTATTTTGATGTACTGCTGTTGCAGCATTTCTTTTGTGTGTGGGTGTACTGTTACCGTGACATGCAGAGCAAAGAATATGGACTTCATGGTGACACTCTACTGTTAATTTGAATGAGACATGTAAAAATCTCTTAATTCCTTGGGTGTTGCATTTTCTCTAAACAGGGATACTTATTCCTACAAAGCTCTGTATTTGAAAAAGTATACACTAGTTTATTTAGTTGGATTGAGTTTGCATGCAAGGTTTTGGTAGCAGGGGAGATTAAGGAGTGGCTTCTGTGAGAAGCTGCCAGTGACAGTGGTAGCATCTCTGGGGTTATATATTTTAAGAAGGGGAAAAAGTTACTGCACAGGACTAATTGCAGCTGGAGAGCAGAGTGAGAATATCAGAGAGAAACAGCCCTGCAGGCACCCAGGTCAGTGCAGAAGGAGGGGCAGGAGGTGCTCCAGGTGCCAGAGCAGATTCCCCTGCAGCCCCTGGGGCAGCCCATGGTGAGGCAGCTGTGCCCCTGCAGCCAGGGGAGAGCAGAGATCCCCCTGCAGCCCCTGGAGGACTCCACCCTGGAGCAGGCTGATGTCCAAGGGACGCTGTGACCCTGGGGGAAGCCTTTGCTGCAGCAGGCTCCTGGCAGGACCTGTGGCACCATGGTGGAGCAGACTGTGCCAGAGGGACTGCACCGTGTGGAAAAGCAGCCACACTTTGTGTGCAGCAATTTGTGAAGAGCTGCAGCCCATTGGCAGGACTCACATTGGAGAAATTTGTGAAGTACTGTCTCCTGTGGAAGAGACTTCAGTCTGGAGCAGGGGAAGAGTGAGAGGTGTCCCTCCTCTCTTGAGGAGGGAGGAGTGACAGAGGTGACATATGATGAACTGATGGCAATCCCCATCCCCCGGTGTCACTCAGGGGAAGTAGAGAAAATTAGGAGTAAAGTTGGGCCTGGGAAGAAGAGGGGGGCAGGAGGAAGATGTTTTTAACATTTAGTTTTTATTTCTCATTACCCTACTCTACTCTACTCATTACTCTACTTTTGATTGGTAATGAATTAATTTTTTTCCCAAGTTGAATCTGTTTTGCCCATAACAGTAACTGATGCTACATACAGTCCTTTTGTTGTATTTTCTCTCCCCTGTCCAACTGAGGGGGCTGAAGTGGCTTTGGTGGGTACCTAATGTCCAGCCAGGGTCAACTTTATACAAGGATAAGAAATCACTTTATAGTAATAGAGACTTTTTCTTTTCCCCTCAGTCAGTAGAGCTCAAAAACTAAGGACTGAACCTAGCTCTTACTGAACTTCCATAGTTGCTTCCTACTGTACTTGGATTTATATATTTTTTTAACTCGGGTAAGGAGTATGTGCAAATTCTCTTTAGTCTGTGACCACTTATTTCCTAAGCAGTGTATTTCTTTGTCAAAATCACATAAAGTAAAAGCATATTTTTTAATAGGTGGGACAAGCTTAATGAAAAGATAGATTTCTTTCTTTTTTGCCCTATGATACAAATTATTTCAAATAGTTGGCTTTTAGTTTTAGTACTTTGGAGGTATGTAAAGGTCTAGGAAGTCTGTATATTTGGGTTGTGTTATTTCCGTGGAGGCTCATTTCATCCTTAGCAGCTCAAGAAGCTTTTTTTATTTTTCTGTTTTATTTATTAGGAATAGACTTCGTGGAAGCTAACTGCAGAATATTCTGTGGACATGGAAAGCTTATCATAAACATCTTTCTACCTTTTACTGCTTTATGATCTTGTTGCCCTACAAATGAAATGGAGACCAGTAGTAACTTCTACTGGTGAACTTAAAAAAAACTGTACGAGAGCATTCCAGGTTTTCATAACTTCAACAGAACAAGATTTTCTTGTTTTCCCTTGCCAGTGTCACTCACTGCTTGTTTATTCTATGCTGCGTAGGTTGTAAATTGCTTAATGTTGGGGGTATTAATTTTAAAGCAGGAATTCTGTGAAGAATGTTCATGTTTCTGTATGTCCCTGAGGAGAATAATCTGCAGAATTTTGCGAGTTGTGTTTGAATTCTGCAAGCCAGACTAGAAAATAGTTATTAATAAACATAAACATTTGAACTGAGAATTAAGTTCAAATGTTAATCCATGGAATAACTCTCATTTTGACACAGGTTTTTTTTTAGTATGCAAAGATGTTTTTTTAAATTTCAGTGTTTATTTAATCTTCTTTTAAAAGTGAACTACTGGCTATTGTTAAACTATTTTGTGAGCTTTGAGGGAGGAAACCAGAAAATCTGTACATTTAAATTGAGCTTCTCAACTGTTTTTTACTTGCATCAGACTATACACTGGTTTTGTTACAATACTGTGATTTCTAGAAGGGAAAATTTACTCCAAACTTCCCTCAGCTGCATTTACATTGTATTTGCAATCACTTAAGGTAGGCTTATGGCTGTTGCTGGGGGATGTTAAGAACACATTGATTGTTTCTTCTGTTGGGAAGGTTTCACCGTTGACTCCAATTGCTTTGTAGATGTGGAAATAACTAGAGGCTCTTAAAAAGTTCTCTTTCTTTACGTGTTGCTTCTGACAAAACTGGAAGATTCATCGGCCTGTGATGCTTTTCATGAGCTGGCAGTAAAGGGTTCTTTCAGTCTTTTGTCCTGTTTCAGCAAGACTCAACATTTGTATGTGCTCTTCAATCTTGGTTTGATTTTTAAGTGATAGCAGAAGTCAAGTGTTTCTCTTAACCATACAAAAATGTTGAGATAAAATCTAGGTCTTCCCATGATAATTGTAATTCTGGCTGAGTTGATCGTTCAGTGAAGGTTATAAATCAAGCCTGGTGTTACTGCCTACTAGCTGACTGTTTGCTTTCAGGGTTACATTAATTCCTGTTTGTACAATTTACCCAATTTCATACTCAAGTTGCAGAGGATTTACAAATTAGAGATTCCTTTTTGGGGAGAAACAGGTTGGAGAGGAAGATTTATGTCTGTTTAACCTATTCCTAGAAAGGTTTGTGTTGCTTAGGAAAGCTTGTTTGGATTCTGTGGTCTGCTATACACATAAATCTGCTTTGTCATCCATCCCTTCCCCCAGAGGTGTTAGGAGGAGGCTGTTCTTGGACGTGACTATTTCAGTCACTTAGAACTAAGACATTCTGTAAGTGCAGCTACCTTATTATATTTGTGCCAGTATGGTTTCTGTTCTCTCCCTGCTGCTTATCATGATCTGTGGAGAAGCAACAGACATATCTCAGTTGCCATCTATTTTGGTCTTTATTTGACTTATTTTCTTAAGATTCTCTGTAAAATACATTCTTTGCTTCACCATAAGAATTGTGAGGGTTTAAATTTTGTATCCTTATTAGAACACTCATCAGAGGAAAGATATGAATGCAGTGAAATCATTGTTAGAGCATTCATTTATGTGGATTACTGTCAGCTCTTTGCACCTTTATCAACATGCTTCCTGAGTATTTTGGTTAGGGGTCATTCCATTGCTTTCTAGAATTGAGGGCTTTTTTTGGTTTGGTTCTGAAATATTTCTGATTTGTTAGTAGTGAACATATTCGCTGCTTCTATTTTATGTGAATGCTTAAGGAAGAGTAATTGGATTTCTTTGGTTCCACTTGGGGTTTATAATGCAAGTACCATGAATAAAACATCAGAGCTGTCTCTCAGCTGTATTACTGAAGCATAACATTATGTAGAAGCTTGAAATCAGATTTCCTCTTTCCTTGTGGAGGTTAAAAAGCCCAGTGAACTCTTGGAGCAGGTACTGGCTTCAGGCCAGGAAATAAGGCATGAGCTGCTGGCTGCAGTGCATGTAAGCCTAGTAAAATCTGACTTCTTTAATGCTTTGCCTCATAAGTGAATCTCAACTTCACTTGCAAAGATGACTGCTTGAAATTATGAATTTCTCTAGGTCTAGTATTTTACATGCAGAAAGCATGCCTAAAGGCTCTGCTTTTCTATGTCAAGGATTTAAAAACCTGGAGTGACTTGACAAGAAAGCAAATGAATAATGAGACTGCTCAGGTAAGCTGTTGCTGATGGTAGGTAAGCAGGGGAAACACCAGTGAATTAAATCTGCATTCACCAGTGTGAATACAGCACATCTCATGTTTTTATTAATTATATCTGACTGCTGTTAATAGATTAGCCTGTGACTGTAATATAAAAGATTTTTCAGTTGACAGATTAAGCAGTCTTTCCCAGATATTTGCAAAAGCCTTTAAGTTCAGAGTATGTATAGATAGTTGAGTTTTCAGTGTAGATGTGCACCCAAGAAAATGCAAACTGTACTCTTACTTTTCCCCAGTTCTTATGTGATGCATGCAATTTCAATTTCAATAAGTGAGCTGATTGCAGGTGCAAAATAAGAGCAGAAGGTATAGGACTAAGCAAAAATGATTACACAGTTAACTTGCTGCATTGTTGCATACAGCCACAACAAACAAAACTTTTCTGAGTTAAAGAAGCTTAGGTTGGATTACGCAACAGATAAATATTAGCTTTTCATATCGTAAGTACTGGGATTTCCTTGTAACTCCTCCTCTATATCCTCTTAATAGAGCTTGCATAAGAGTAGTAGGAAACATGTATGTGACAATTAGTTTTCTGTTCTTGCTTAATTGTGAAATATTTGCATTTCAGGTCAAATCAAAGACAAAGTTAAAGAAAGGGAAAAGAAGCAAAAAGAAAAGAAGAAGCACAAAATAATGAATGAAATCAAGAAAGAAAACGGAGAGATCAAATTACTGCAGAAAGGTAGGTTAAACTATGTAGTGTTTTTTCGTTCTAGTACTAGAAGTATTTGTGAATGGATACTGTGTTTTAATACTATATTTTTCATTTGACTTATGCCATTTTTCATCATTAGTTAGTGCAAGAGTTGCAAATGTAAACCTGATATAGGTGTTAACTTTGTCAACTGTGCTAAGTACTGGAAATTACAGATAAAACTACCATCATGGTGTGGCATATGTAATAGTAATAGGAAAGACTAGTACTTCAAGGAACTGTATTAGTGATTCTTCAATAACTGCTGACAAGATGTAGGTTATCATTTTATATATTGTGGAGAAGAATGATGAATGCATGTTACACTTTCTGTCTAACAATTGTACAAGACTGAGTAATTAAGGAGTTATAATTCAGGAGCTTTGTCACATACTAAACAGTTGTTTCTTCAACTTTCTTTTTTGTAATGAAAGGTAGTTAAGGTTACATTCTCATGTGGCTTGTGCACCCACTGAATCTTAGAATGGTACAGTAGTTGAGGTTGGAAGGGATCTATTCCAACTGCTCCAAGTATGATCAACAAGAGCACATTGCCCAGGATTATCAGACTCCTTATCTCCAAGGTGGAGGCAACAGTCTCTCTGGACAACTACATTCATATTATATATACAGAAGATTTTTTTTTTATAATGATGGTAAGAGACTGGAACAGGTTGTCCAGAGAGGTGATGAATATCCCATCCGTGGCAGCATTCAAGGTCAGGTCAAGGATTGGGCTCTGAGCAACCAGATCTAATTAGGAAGATGTTCCCGCTTATTGCAGCAGGTTAGACTAGATGGTCTTTAAAGATCCATTCCAGCACAAGCCATGTGTCTGTTGTATGGTCTATGAAGAAAGGCAGAGACTGCTGGAACTGATAGGCCTGGAGAAGAGGAAGCTCAAGGGGGATCTCATCAATGTGTCTAAAAATCTGATGAAAGGGAATGAAGAAGGTCATCAACCTGTGCTTCATGGGTTTATTCCTTCCAGGTCAGGGTTTTGCCCACCCTTCTGTTAACTTCATGAGTCCCCCAAGTTAGCCCATTTCTACATCCTCTCGAGGTCCCTCTCACAGGCAGTGCAACTCTGTGCTGCATCAATTCCTTCTTGCAGTTTTGGATCAGTTGCAGCTTGCTGAGGGTGTGCTCTGTCCCATGATACCATTAATGGAGAGGCTGAACAATACTGACACAAGATATTAAGGTCTGGATTACTCCAGCAGTGACTGTTTCCAGCTGGAATTTGTGCTGCTGCTCACAACCCTTTGAGCACAGCAGTTAAGCCAGTTCTTGAACCACCTTACTCTTCACTTGGGTTATGCTGCATCAGTTTTTTTTTGTGAGGGCATTGCTTATTTGAGTAGACGAAATGCTTTTTTAATCTGTTATTTTCACACTCTGATTTTGAAGTTAGGAACAAATTCCTGATATGTTTTTCTGTTACCTTTTATACTGTAGGATTTAATTTACGAACCAGAAACTGAAATCATCAAACCAAATCTTGATTTTCAGAATGCTCATGTGAGGTCAGAGGCACAGAAGTCTGTAATTACTACATCACATATTATACTCTACACACAAGTAACTGTATTAACAGCAATGACAGCTTAAAACTGTGTTGATCGGGTCTCAGAGTATTGCCTTGAACTTGAGGATTGTGTAAGCTGGTGACTTGGTGGAAAGGGCAGGTGTGACTAGTCTTTGCTGAGGATGGAAGGAAGTCGGTGGTTTCAATACTGGGCAACACTTAACTGCCATAACAGTGGGTTCTTTAGGCTTTGTTTGAGTAGCAGCCTTTTTTCACGCTGGGTACTGTTTGTGTTGCCATTCAGCAGATAAGGTGCAATCTGCAAAGACAGCAAATGGTCTTACACCTAATAAATGATACCTTATGGGGCTGTTGAGCCTAAAACTGTGCTTTATTTTCAGGTTATTGTAAAAGTGCATATGCCCAGGGACTCTTAGACCACCTCTGCTAGAAACAGGATAGCTTCTTTTCACAGCAAACAGTGCTACAAGTGCATTAGATGCTTTGCCCCTATTTCATTTGACGTTTTATCACTTCAGGACATTTTAGGTTTACTTTAAGGTGTTGGCTGTTAAGTGTTTTGTAGAGGCTATGTTTGGTTTGCCAGTATCCTGCAAAATTGACTCCTATTTCAGGGAAAGAAGGGAGTGAGTCAGGAAAGCAGACAGTTGTTTAGAGCAGACAGATGATCTCCATCATTTGGGTTTGTATCCTGTTTGGAGCAGCAGCTTGGTGTCTTCTGTGGGCCTCCAAAATCTGACTGGATGTGTTTGTATGTGATGTGAGGTTTGTGTAACATTTCCTGAGCTGTCCTGCTGATCTAACTTTACATCCTGGGCAAGAGAGAGGAGAGACAGAAGTGCTTTATGATGCAGCTTCTTGTATATATCAGTGGTCAGTGTCTCTGTGACCTTTTCAAATACTAAGTCTTTATCTAAGAGTGTCTTCTTCCTGTGTAACAAAAGTTAAGCTTCAAGCTGTATTGTTTTGAGCTCAGGATTTACTGTGTGGGCTTGGAACAAAGTTTTGGGATGAGTCTGCTTTCCATTTCTTCGGGTTTTTGCTTTTGTGGTTGTTTTTTCTATTTTGTGTGTGTATCTAGAGAGCAACAGTACAGTGCCTAAAGACAGCTTATTTCCTTCTTCTAGGTATTAGATTTATATCTTGTGAAATACTGCTCTGACCATCTGTTTATGGTTGAGGGGGTGGAGGTAACAGCCTACGTGACTTCAGACAGCTAAACTGGCTGTCCAAGGTCAAAGGTGACGAGTTATAGAAGAGGTCAGTGCTGAGGGACTGATGCTTTTTGAGGGAGAGCCGGTGCATAAGCCTGATTTTGGTGCTCTAGGTTAAATGTGAGAGAGTTTATTTATACTTGGAGGCTCTAGGTTGTGAGCTGATCATCTGCCTGAACTTGGGTTGGTGTTCTGTTGAAAGCAGTGATAAACTTGCCTGTGTTGGAGAAGGGTGATTCTTAAAAAGTTTTTCTGCTGTGCTTGAGGCTGCTAAAGGAAATGAGGCTCTTTCAGAGAGCCTGACTGCTTTTCTTATGAACCTAGAATTCAAAGGTTTTTTTATCATCCTTTTCCACTTAAAAGATGTATCCTCTGTAGATAAGGCTGTAGAATTGCCCCTATGTCTCTCCATCTACTATGTGGAAGAGCTCAGTTTTCAGACAAAAGCTGCTTGGCACATGCATATTCTTAAAAATTCAGAAACTCTAAATGATTTAAACTTATTTTTTAAAAAATTCTGCGTTGTAAATAGTTACCATCTAGAAATTGAGCATTTCATGCAAAATATTTGCACCAATGTGATATTACCAAGTTACTGGAGGTCCTGCAAAAAGGAAGATGATTAATAGGCTTATTTGGTAAACAGTCTTATTTCTGTTTTTCATTTTAGATAGAAAGATAGAAACAGTCTTGTTTTTCTGATTATTTATATCTGAGCACAGCAACTGCTAAAATTGCAGTAGGAGAAATTCTTAGTATGTGTTTCTGCAAGAAAAAGTGCCTTGATTTATTGAATGCCAAAATCCAGGAAAGAACTGAAAATGAGTATTTTATTTGCTAGGATGAACATAGGTAAATGCAAATGTTTTTCTAAAGCTTTTTTTAAATTCTTCTGGAAGAAATGACATTTAATTGCACAGTCTTATGAGCCTTTTACATTTTTATAGATTTTTTTTTACATTAATAGTTACAAAATCAGTATATTGAACATAAAACATGAGTCTTTGTATATCTTTAGGTAAAATGTTCAAGTATTTGTATACTATGCACTTCAGATGAGGGAATGAGTAAGACTGAGATAAGAGTGCAGGGCACACAATCCACCACACTGCTTTGTCTGATACTGAGCTTGCTTCAGAGTCCTTGTGCACCAAGTTACCAACTTTTACCTATAAAATCTATGAGTAGAGGCTAAAACACAGATGTCTCATGGGATGAAGCAAGTGGCAACTGAAGGAGAGCTGTGCTGGAAAGCTTTCTGGTGGAGCTGGAAATCTGGAGCTTGATGCAGAGACCTCTGGTACATCAAAATGAAAATGTTGTATTTTGGTGACTGAGCTCTCCTAAAGTAAGGAGGTGAGAACCAATTTTAATTACTGGCTGCTGTCAAAAATGTTTGTGCCTCCCTGCTACTAGGTGTCAGCTAGAAAGCTGTGGAAAAAAGTGTTTAGTATTATTTAATTTTTGGCTTTTGTTTTGAAATACTTAAAGTCCCCCTCTAACAATTCTGGCTGTGACCTCAAAGTTGAGAAACAGCTGCTCTTGTTGAAACAACTGAATAACGTATTAGACTTCATGGTCTCTGCTTATTTAAAATTTCAGATCAAGTGATCAAACACCACAAATGGACAAAACACAACATAAAATAAATTTCAGGTAGTGTCTGACTTCTTGCAAAAACTTATATTTGTAAGGTGTCTGTAATTAATCAGAGATCAGACTGTCTAGCATCAGTTTCAATTACAAGTGTGTGTCATCTTGTAATAACAGACATTGGCTTATTTGCATAAAATTTCAACAGTTTTGAGTATCAGTCCTTAGTAGTAAGTCCCATGTTGTCAACAGTGACAGGAATATTATGGCACCACAAAAAATAAGGTGTGCTAAGTTACCTTTGAAAGATCTGCCATTCCTATAGACAGAATGTGAAAATGTGAGAATTCTCACATGTTTGTCTGTGAGAATTATTTTTCTATTTATGATACATAAGGCTTGGTGCCTAGAAGATGGCTAAAAGTTATTTAGCATTACTCCTGATACTGCTGAGTATGTGCATGCATGAACAGAATGAACATAACTTCCATTCTTCTGATTTCTTTCTTGATACAGTGCAAATTTTGGAACTCTATCCTTGTGCAGATATTGCTAAGACAAATAAGAGAAGAAGCTGTTCTCAGGTGCTTTTATAGTCCAGTGAAGTGTGAGTTCAGTCTACTTTTAACAAT